AAAGCATTCCTTGTGTGGATTGAGTTCCTGCAGGAAATGGATTCTGAGGGGTAAACTATGAATTCAGGAAGTCTTACTGGGAATTGGTTTGGGGAACACCTGTGAGGGAGGAAAAGCTGAACTACAGTGCCAGAACAGCAGGCCTCAACCAATCCCACACAGAGCTCAGAAGTTGCGATGGCCCTTCAGGGTTGTCCCAAGGGAGGCAAGGGGGCCTGACCTGTGTATTTCCACACAGACTGATGATTGGGTATGGGCTACCCCAGGGACGGACACACCTGTGGCAAAGCAGCTCCTTGCTCCAGGTGCTGAGCACAGCTCCTGGAGCAGGATTAGGCTGTGACCCCTTGGCAGACAACACCTCCAGCAGCCAGTGAAAGAGAGAACTTCATACCTCAGGGGGGTGCAGGGTGTGGACCTGGGCAACTGACCACAGCATCCATTACATTATCTTTGAGTAAAATTGACTCCAGGAAATGTCATATTTATATGTCATTGTAAATGCTTCCTGGCATATTGCTGTACTGTTGGAACAAGTACTTCAGTTTGGAGGCCACAGCAGAGACACTGGGAACCCACCGAGAGGGAGTGAAAAGATAAACCAAATGAGGAAGAAACTGGAGCAGAAATAACAGTTGAGAGACCTACTGTAATCAACTTTAGTAGTAGCCATAGGAATCAAGAAAAAAAAGAAATATTTTCATCTTGCCAAAGACCACCCATCTTCTACTGTACCCATACTGTTTGTCTTGCTTTCTGTTGTTTGGGTCCTAGAAGAGCTAGAGACCATTGGAAATTAAAATTAACATTTAAAGTATTATTTGTCTCTGGGGTACAGGTGTGTAATTCGTCAGTCTTACACAATTCACAGTGCTCACCATAGCACATACCCTCTCCAATGTCCATCACCCAGCCACTCCATCCCACTCACCCCCCTCCACTCCAGCAACCCTCAGTTTGTTTCCTGAGATTAAGAGTCTCTTATAGTTTATCTCCCTCTCTGGTTTTGTCTTGTTTCACTTTTCCCCTCCCTTCCCCTATGATCCTCTGTCTTGTTTTTCTGACTTATTTCACTTAGCATAATACCCTCTAGTTCCATTCACGTCATTGCAAGTGGCAAGATTTCGGGGGTTTTGATGGCTGCATAATATTCCTCTGTGTGTGTGTGTATGTGTACACCACATGTTCTTTATTCATCTGTTGATGGACATCTAGGCTCTTTCCATAGTTTGGCTATTGTGGACATTGCTGCTATAAACACTGGGTGGGGGGCACGTGCCCCTTCAGATCACTGCATTTGTATCTTTGGGGTAAATACCCAGTAGTGCAATTGCTGGGTCGTAGGGTAGCTCTATTTTCAACTTTCTGAGGAATCTTCATACTAGGTGTCCAGAGGAAATTCACTTCCTTAAATCTCTTTTCTTTTGCTATTTTAATTATAAAAAGCTAGAAAGAACACACTTCTAGTCAAAAGAATAATATATACCTTAAGTCATTAATTGTTTTTTGGGATAGAGGCTGGATTAGAGTCCTCAGAGGAACAAAATAAATGTGTGTGTGCCTCTTCTTTTGGTTTCCTTTCTGCTCAGCTCTGATTTCAAAATATGAATATTTGATGAAGATTGTGGGCTTGGGTTGAAAACCGTGGCTTTAAATCATCAGAGATTTTTTTAATGACCACTAATAATCCCTAGCAAAAAATTAGGTATTTTGATTATCAGAAATACTGTGCATACCAGGACATCTGGTATGTCTTTAGACAAAAAAGAAAAAGCAAAAAGTCCTAACTTAGTAATAATGATTATTATTCAGATTTTGACATAATATTTTACCAGATATTAAGTGCCCATGATCTGCAAAGCCCAGTTACAGTTCATAAACTCTGTTCTTTTATAATAATCAATTCATAAATACCAATTTTTGCAAAAGTAAAGTACAGCTTTATCCAGCTGTTTTCTAAGACTTTTCTAAACCATTGGGGGTCAGCATCAGGACACTTAAGTTCCCAACAGGACCATTCATCTGGTGTCTCTTTCACACTTATTACTTCATGTCTGAGACCCTGATGCCACTTCTCCCTGCTTCACTCTGCTCCATCCCACCCGCAGGGAGACTATAGCCATGTCATTTAGCCTCAGTTGTGAGTCCATCCACAGCAAGGGTTGTGCTTGGGGCTAAATGTTGGCTGCTTGAAGCCTTAGCACTTGTTAGCTGTCATTATTTCCCCACACCCTGCTGTAGCCAAGAGCTGCAGCCAGGACCACTGGAAAAGAGCAAGGCTCTGGAATGGGGCTGGGGCCGTACAGAAAAGTTAGTGGTACGTTTTTGGAGTTGCTTTCCCCAGAGGCTGTAAATGCAAGGTCCTGCTATTTAACTGATTTCATATATATATATATATATATATATTTTTTTTTTTTTAAAGATTTTATTTATTTATTTGAAAGACAGAGATCACAAACAGGCAGAGAGGCAGGAAGGGAAGCAGGCTCCCTGCTGAGCAGAGAGCCCGATGCAGGGCTCGACCCCAGAACCCTAGGATCATGACCCGAACCGAAGGCAGAGGCTTTAACCCACTGAGCCACCCAGGCACCCCAAACTGATTATATTTTAAATACAACAACATTGTGATATAGATGGTAATACCTTCCTCTTAATGGTGGGGAAACACAGACCCAAAGATGGTAATGTAGCATGACTCAGGAGTGCTGAGTATCTCATTACATAATCTCAAGCAAGAAACCTGGCTTTGTTTTAAAATACAGTTTCTCCTGCTGTCCAAAAGTTCTCATTATGCCGCTTCACTTTTATAGAAAACCTACATTAGGAAAGACCTACATCAGGACGGTAATGGTTTTTTCCTTAAAAGCAAAATTTCTTTGGATTTCTTTCAGCTAGCCAACACAATGTAGGTGCTAGTGTAGGTCTTCAGTTGAAATGAAGTGGCTTACATGAACTTTCAGAAATCGGAAGATACGTGTAATCATGGAAACACATTCTGAAACAAGTAAAAGTGTTCCTCCCCTGACTAATTTCTTTCGTAGCAAGAGAAGAAATAATGCATTATTTATACCTCATTTTCTTCAAATGTTCAGAGTGATTTTATTCTTTGTATATTAATACTCCTATACATTATTAAGTACAAAAAAAGAGCAGGTGGTATTATTCTCATTTTGCAGAAGATCAAGCAGATGTTGAAAAGCCAAAAATAATTGGTTTAGAAATGTTTTCTATGAAGTATTCATTATTTTCATATAAATTAAAGTAGGTTTCATACAGTACATTTAAACTCAGTCCACGTGCATTCAGGAAAATAAGCTCAACAAAAAAATATACTAGAGTTGATTTATTGTGAGTAGGAATTAGGTATAACACAAACTGATAATAGGTGAATAGACATTTTACTTATCAAGATTTTCTTAAAATTGCAAATGTTGGATTAATGCAGTTTCATAAGGTATAACATTGTGTGTCAACTATACTCAATTAAAAAAATTAAAAATTAAGCAAAAAGGGTCCAAACTTGCAGTTATAAGATGAAGAATTTCTGGAGATTTAATGTACAGCATGTTGACTTTAGTTAAAAATATTGTCTTACATGCTGGAAAGTTGGTGAGAGTAGATCTGAAAAGTTCTCCCCACATACACAAAAAGGTAATTATATGAGGTGATGGAAGTGGTAATTAACCTTATTGCACTAACAATTTTTGCAATATATACATGTATCAAATAATAAAAAGCATCTTATATATTGAAATTTATTCATGAAATTATTTTACAAATATATATGGAGCGTAAAAAGTACCAGTGCTTACATCAGCCACTGAGAATAGACTTTTGTTTCATGAAACCTAGGGGGAAGGCACACACAAATGTAAAATAACAGTGTGATAAGGGCTAAAGAGGAAGGTGTACAGTGCTATATGCCATTGTACAATAGGAAGATTTGGCTTAGTTGAGGGGGAAGGAAGGGCTTTCCTGAAGAATTGGTGATTCTTTTGAGCCTAATATCTGAAGAAAGAGCAGAAACTTTTCATTACTTAGGAAATGAAAGAGACCAGGCATGGGGGTTAGGGGTGAGGAGAGGAGAGCATCCAGGGCAAGACCACATCAGAAATGAGGCAAAAGATGGCCACAGTCGCCAAACTGTGGAAAGAACCAAGATGCCCTTCAGTGGATGAATGGATAAGGAAGATGTGGTCCATATACATTATGGAGTACTATGCCTCCATCAGAAAGGATGAATACCCAACTTTTGTATCAACATGGATGGGACTGGAAGAGATTATGCTGAGTGAAATAAGTCAAGCAGAGAGAGTCAATTATCATATGGTTTCACTTATTTGTGGAGCATAACACATAACATGGAGGACATAGGGAGATGGAGAGGAGAAGGGAGTTGAGGGAAATTGGAAGAGGAGATGAACCATGAGAGACAATGGACTCTGAAAAACAATCTGGGAGTTTTGAAAGGGCAGGGGGTGGGAGGTTGGGGGAGCCAGGTGATGGGTATTATGGAGGGCATGTATGGCATGGAGCACTGGGTGTGGTGCAAAAACAATGAATTCTGTTACGCTGAAAAGAAATTAATAAAAAAAAAGAAATGAGGCAAAAATTAGGTAACGTTTAAATTAAGAGATCTTCAGGGGAGATAAAAAGAAGAGGGCTTAGGTTATATGGAGGGAGTGATATCTTTGAGATAATGGTGGGTTGAATATGGAGGTTGAGGGAGAGGGCTGTGTCATTACCACTTAAGGGTGCAAGTTAATGTGGTGACAAAGTTAGCTACAAGGCCTAGAAGGAAATTTGAATAAACAATCTCAGTTCATCCCTCTGTAATATTGTATTTACTCTAGTCTACTATTGACTGAAATCTACAGAGAAGTAGATTCTGTACTATCTGCTTTAATATACTTTGTTTGAAGGTATCTGTTAGAAATTTTAATTTGGGAAGCTAGCTTAATGAAATTTTTATCCCTAAATGTTTTTATTTTAATTGGTAGAATCTTAAGAAGATTCAAGAAATGGAAAAAAGTGATGAATCCAGCACAGACCTGGAAGAGCTGAAAAACGCTGACTGGGTAAGTATTTGGATATTCTCTGTTCTACTTAGTGTTGAAGACATAGTGTAATGTGTTTTTTGGGGTTTTGTTTTGTTTTTTAAAGATTTATTTATTTATTTTGGAGAGGGAGAGTGCATGAGTGGTGGGGGAGGGGCAGAGGGACAGAGTGGGGAAGCAGACTCCCCACTCAGCAGGAAGCCCATCACGGGGCTCAGTCTCAGGACCCTGGGATCCTGACCTGTGCCAAAACAAAAAGCTGGACACTTAACCAACTGAGCCACCCAGGCACCCCATAGTGTAATGTTTTTTAAAGTGCTTGTTATTGGGGTGCCTGGGTAGCTCAGTCACTTGAGCATCTGCCTTCAGCTTGGGTCATAAACCCAAGGTCCTGGGATCGACCCCCACTTCGGAGTCCCTGCTCACTGGGGAGCCTGCTTCTCCCTCTGCCAGTCGCCCTGCTCGTTCTCCCTCTCTCACTCTCAAATAAATAAAATCTTTAAAAAATAAAATAAAATGCTTGTTATTAAGGGCTGTAATATGAATTGATACTGTATGAATTTGAATATCTAGTCTTATGTTTGAGGAACTGTCTATCCCCCATTTTACAAAACTAATTGGTTTTATTAAAGCAGCCCCAGATGTCTTCTGAGAATTTAGGTGTTTCAAAATGCTGACCTTTCTAATTGTCTTAACACTTTAGCATACTCTTATAAGTTAGAGTTTAAGCTCTGTTTCAGAATAAGATGTGAAACTATAAGGTAGTACATTCATTTATCTGATGAATAGTTATTGGCTCTCTGCCCTCATAAAACGGAAGACAGACTTTCAGCACAGATGATTGCAGTATATTTATGTGGCACACTTTGAATAGCTGCTGTTTTTCTGGCATGATTCTAGATCCTAGTGAAACCAAGACTCCCTGCCCTCATATATCACTTAGAGTTGGGTGGGCGCGACAGCACTGAGGACGGGAGAGTCAGTGTCATGAAATTAGACTGAGGTATGTTCAGGTGTCAGTGGGAAGCCCCAGTTCAGGATTCTGACTTTTCAGGTTAAGGATAAACAGTGGTTTAATAATGACATCATTAAATGAGGAACTAGGCATAGAAGCAGATTTGAGGATATGAACAGGTTGCTTTTGACATATTAGATTTTAATTGTTTAATTGTTTTATTCTTTTCTAACAGCTTTATTAAAGTATAATCAGCGTGCAATAAGTTGCACATATTTAAAAGGCACAATTTGATAAGTTTCGATATGTTCATACACACATACATACCCATGAAACCATCACCATAATCAAAATAATGAGCTCACCCATCACCCATCATCCCCCAAAGTTTCCTTATACTCCTTTGTAATCCTAGTTCCTGCTTTCCTTCTCCCCAGTTTCTAGGCAATCAGTGATCTGCTTTCTCTCACTGTAGATTAGTTTGCATTTTCTAAAATTTCGTATAAATGTAATCATATAGTATGTACTGTTTTTTGCTTGGCTTCTTCCATTCCGCATAATTCTTTTGGGATTTCATCCATGTTGTTGCCTATATCAATAGTTTAATGTTTTTGTTACTACTAGTAGTCCCTTCTGTTGTATGGACCTACATGTATTGATATATGAATGTAAATATTCTTAATTTATTGAAGATATCTTTACTGAGATATTTGGAATGATATTAATCTGAAACATTTAAGAGTAAGGTTAAAAAACAAGTAGCCTGTAATATCTTATGAGTCTTGTAATTTTAGAATAATATCGATTATCAAGTTTCCTTTGTATAGAATACTCTGGTAGTCTTTTTCCAGCTGTATTTCATCTTAGCTAATACATTTATAAATTTGTTTTCTTACACATGGAAACCAGAAGAATAACTCCAGGTAGTCAGAATTTAGCAAACAGTTATTATAAACTTGAACTAAAAATTTATTGCCTTAAGGCAGACTCTTTTAAAAACTAGTAGGATTGGGGCGCCTGGATGGCTCAGTGGGTTAAAGCCTCTGCCTTCGGCTCAGGTCATGGTCCCAGTGTCCTGGGATTGAGCCCCACATCGGGCTCTCTGCTCAGCAGGGAACCTGCCTCCTCCTCCCTCCCCCCGCCTGCCTCTCTGTCTACTTGTGATCTCTCTCTGTCAAATAAATAAATAAAATCTTTTAAAAAATAAATAAATAAAAAATAAAAAAATAAAAACTAGTAGGACCACTGACAAGAGATACACTAACTGCAGAGAGATTCCATTTGCCTAGATCACCAGTCTATTTCTTGTAAGACCATTAAAGTGAATTATTTAGAAATAGTAGAAAGAAATGAGTAAAGAATGAGGAATAGAATGAGGGAGAATTAGGATATCTTTAATGGCAGGATCTAAACATCTCGGGATCTTGCTTGAGGAATATGAGGTAAATAAAATCTCTGGGAGTACATACAATGACAGTCATGTACTACTTTAATGCTAACTGTGACTTTAATTTCTGGATTAAATTTCTGAAAATTTTGCCATATGATAATATATAAAGGACTGGCTATATAAAGGTCTGTTTGAATCCTTTCATAATTATTGCGAAATGTCAAATGTGAATAATTATCCTGTAATTTATCTGCTTTGAGAATTCAATGTTTCACATATGTCAGATTTTCTTAAAGCCCAGGCAGGTCAAGAAAAGAGGCAGAATTTTAAAAGATGAGATGATATTTGAACTGGATCTTAAAGGAATCAGTATAAGAGAATTTGGGACTAGAGCATTTTCAAAAGAAAAATCTAAATATTTTAGGAATATTGTATTAGAGTAACTTTAATGGCAGAATCTAAGAATCTGTTTAAAATAGAAATATTTTAGAAGGTATTCTAATGGATATACTACAGTACTAAGTGCATCAAATCCTTTGTGGAATAGGAAATGGCATACCCGTTTTTAAATCGTAAATTGTTTTTGAAGAAGTTTAGAAGACATTTTGAAGAAAACTGAAGACATTTTTGAGAAATTTAATCCACAATTACTTTATGTAGATAATTCTTAGGAAATACCTCACTTTTTTTTAAAGTTTTATTTATTTAAGTGATCTCTGTTACCTTACGTGGGACTCAGACTCACAGCCCTGAGATCAAAAGTCCCAAGCTCTTCCAACGGAACCAGCCAGATACCCCTAGCCCTTGGTTTTTAATAAATATATTTAAGTAGCTATGTGAGCCGCTTATTAATTTTAACAAACAACAGTGTTTCAGCTAAATATCATAATGATTTACCTTTCACAGAAGTAGAGACTATGACACCTTAGCTTATAGGCTGGAAAATTAAAGTATTAGTGTAGAATAATAATAATAATAATATACATATTTAATGTCTTATATTATTATAAGAACTTCATATATATCTCATTTTCTTGAGAGGCCAAAAAGGCGATCACTGTCATTTGTTAAGAAAATGGATATTAAGTGATTTGTGCAAAGATAGTGATAACATAAAAATCATTTTTGAGCGTTTTCCACGTACAGAACACTGTGTATCAGCTCTGACCTTCTCAGTAAGTTATGAAGTACCACTTTCTTTTATTGATGGGGAATCCAGGGTTTAGAAAGGTGAAGGAACTTGCTGGATATCAAGTAGCTACTAGGTGGTTGTATCAATTAGGGGTGGCCATAGGAATCCTGCCGCGTAACCAACCACTACAGAATCATAGTCACACAAAGCAGTATATTTACTGAACTCATGAGTACAGATGCATTGTGGTAGCTCCACTCTGTGTATGTCTCATCCTTCTCCTGGGCAGCATGCCAGTCCAGGCATGAGGTTCTCATGGCAATAGAAGCACAAGTGACAAGCCCATTGTGCATTCGCTTTTGCAGCCTTTGGTCACATCATATCAACTACTGTTTCAGGGGCCAGGCAAATCATGTAGCCAAACCCAGTATTAGGGTATGGGACGTATACTTCTCTTCAGTGAGCAGAATCATGTAACTGAGGCTATTAATGCAGCCTTCCCCAGTGGATGAGTTAGGGTTTACACTCAGGTGACTCAGCACTTAGAGCTTGTGATTCTCAACTGGCTTTCTACCCACCTTTTAACATCCTTAAACCTAATTTTCAAAAGTGTTTTGTTTGGTTTACTCAATGTTTTGCAAACCAAGCTCTTCATTTTTTCTTTCATTTTTTTTCTCTGTGACTGTAGCTATTTAGAGGAAACTAGCAAATTTATTCATGGACATTTCTCCATCCTTGATTCTTTTAGGCTCGATTCTGGGTTCAGGTGATGAGGGATTTGCGGAATGGAGTAAAACTTAAGAAGGTCCAAGAGCGACAGTACAACCCTTTGCCCATTGAATATCAGCTCACCCCTTATGAGATGCTAATGGACGATATTCGATCCAAAAGATACACTTTGCGAAAAGTAATGGTAAGTAACAACAACAACAACAAAAACTATTAATAGACTGAAATGGTTTTTCTTCAGTAATTTTATTGGTTGAACATGTTCTTCTCAGTGTTACATTTTAAAAATCCTTTCTTCCCTTGGAAGTAATACATTGTCATTACAGAAAATTTGAAAAATACAGTAAGCTCAAAGAAGGAAAGTGACAAATGGGTAATTTCACAACCCAGAGAGATATTTTGTTAACAAGCTGGTATATAACCTTCAGTCTTTTTTTTTTTTTTTAGATTGATTGATTGATTTTAGGGAAAGAGAGGGCAGGCAAGCAGAGGGAGGGCCAGAGGGAGAGAGACTCTAGCAAAGCACAGAGCCCGACATGGGCTCAATCTCATGACCCCATAATCATGATCTGAGCTACTACTCAGGCACCCCCAGTCTTTTTTCTATACATTTTATTCAGACAAAATGGATTAATATTGAACACTTTGTTTTGTAACCAGTTATTTTCACTTAACATATGAATATTTTTCCATGTCATTATATGTTCAAAATCTTCATTTCTAAATAACTACCTCTTTTATAGCTTTGTGGCTATACCAGAGTTTATTAAACCAATCAACTTGTATCAAATTGTAAGCAGTTTATTTTGTGAGTCCTTGCATTTAAATCTTCTTGAATAGCAACTGTGAAATCTTTAAGTTAGGTTCTTAGAAGTGGAATCCTGACAGCACTATGTCTGAAATACACCTGGAATGTGACTGCTTCTTATCACCACCACTTCAGATCCTCTCCATTCCAAGCCACCATCTCTCGCTCACACTAATACACACTTTAAGTGGCTTTTCTGCTTTCACTTTTGCCCCTTTTACTCAGTTTTCCCCCAAAATAGCCAAAGTAAACCTCTTAAGGTAAAAAATGTGATGATGTCATTGCTCTGCTCAGAACCTTCCAGTGTTCTCCATCACACTGGGAACCAACTCCACATCCCTACCTTGGCCTACAAAACACCACAGAGTCTGATACAGGTTACATTTGAGAACTCACCTCCTACCACCCTTCCTGGTTGATTTCCCCTCCTTAGCCATGCTGGTCTCTGTTGCTGCCACATGCTCCTACAACTGAGCCTTTGCTGCCCCTTTTCCTGGAACTCTCTTTTCCCACACATCTACTAACTTGCCTTATCACTTTCCAGGTCTCTGCTAGCATGCCCCCTTATAAAGTCTTCTCCACCTCTCTACCCACATGTTTCAAGTAGTTCACATTGCCATGTATTTTCAGATTCGCTATCTCTCTTACCATTATAGGGACTTAGTTCTTTCATTCTTACATCCCCTGTGACGAGACCATGTGCCTGACACACAGCCAGATGCTGAATACTATGCCCAACAAATAGTTGTGGAATGAATTAATGAATTATAGCCACATTTTTTGAGAAAATTTGATTAGTTATTTTATGTGGAAGATTCTTACAAAACACATCACTAGTTTTAAAATAGATTTAAGTAGGGGTGCCTGGCAGGCTCAGTCTGAAGAGCATGTGACTCTTGATCTTGGGGTCAGGGTTTTGAGTCCCAGTTGGTTATAGAGATTACTTAAATAAATAAACTTAAAAAATAAAATAGATTTAAGTAGCTCTTTGAGCTCTTTGTTAATTTTAATAAGTTGCACTATTGAAGCTAAGCATTGCAGGTAAGTATTTTGTTGATTTACTTCTCAGTAAATCTGATTTCCTTTTGCAAATGAAGAAACTGAAGTTTAGAGGTGCTACATAACTTCCCAAGTTCAGACAACTAGTTATAAGGCAAAGCCTGTTTTCATTTTCATTCTGTCTGACCTTTGAATCTGTGCTGTGTGCTACACGCATGTGGCCAAATTGCCCTTTAGTTATGTTGTGATGATTACTATTTACAACATAATCATTTGTTCTATTTCTTCCTATTCTTGACCAAAGTGGGTATCTTTTGGGATTGGCAAATTTGAGAGAAAATTCTCCTTCATTTTTAAAATCTATATTTCTTTGATTACAAGTGCATTTAAGCATTTTAAAGCATACACCATTTTTTTGGTATTTTTTTTTCCCAAGTGCCAGTCATCTTTTATTGGATGTTAATTCTGAATCAGGATTTGAAAGGATTCAGGGGTGCCAGGCAAAGGTCATGGTCAGGACTGCCACATGTGCCTCCACACTGGGCCCTCTTCAGTGGTACTTGCATAGCCTGAGTTCCTTGTAACAAGGAAAGTCGAAAGTCCTTGAAAAGCACATAACCTGTCAGCACCATAGAAATCCTAGGGAAGGCCCCTTTCTTCACATTGACATACTTGTAATACCAGTAGTAACCTTTCTGAGATGATCCAGCAGTACCCTTAGAGGTGAAATCCCGCATCAGTATCCACCTGGGCAGCTCTCCTAGTTTCACATCCATGAGCTTCTTCTCCTTCACTGTACAACTGATGCCCTCTTGGAGTCCTAGGTGTCTGCTCCCTTTTTTTGTATTTTTAATTTTATTTTAATTTAGCAAAATTTTTTAAAGATTTTATTTGTCCGAGAGAGAGAGCGCACAAGCAGTGGGGAGGGGCAGAGGGAGAGGGAGAAGCAGACTTCCCACTGAGCAGAGAGCCTCATTCAGGCCTGGATCCCAGGACCCTGAGATCATGACCTGAGCCAAAGGCAGATCTTAAACGATTGAGCCACCTGGATGCCCCTAATTTAACAAATATTTATTGAGCACTTCTTGTGTGCCAGGCACTATTCTAGACCCTGGAAAAAGGACCCGCAGTCCTTATTCTCAGGAAGTTCACAGTATGGCAGTAGCCACTGGTAATTAGGCAAGCATTAACAACAGCATAATAAGTTAAGTGTAAGCGGCTGTATGCCAGAAAACAATGTGCAAAGTCCAGGAAGTAATGGAATCTGACACAGGAAAGCAACTGAAGTTCTCCATAATTAAAGACCTTTTCACTCTGTAATTCCTGTGAAGAATGAATGTCAATGATTTCTTTTTTAAATAACTTCACAGTATTTCCTAGTGCACTGTGAATTATTTACCCGAGACTCTGTTAATAGACATTTAGATTGTGTCCAGTTTTCATTGTTTTAATTAGTTTTCTGATCCTCATACAGACATCTCATCTAATTATCTCCTTGGTTTCAATTTCTGTTGGTGAGATGAATACATCAAGAATTATGCACATTTTAAATTTTAATACATGTTGCCAAACTCTTCTCCAGAAGAACTGTACCAATTTATACTTTGTTTGTTTGGTTGGTTGTTTTTTTTCCAATTTATACTTTTACTAACAATGCAAGATAATTTCTGTTGCCAATACTTGGCAATGCTGTCTTTTTAAAAAAATGTCTACCCATCTGAACTTAATCTTGAGTGGGGACACTTAACAGTAATCACAGGTGATTTTCTTCCTTATCCTGAAGAAATTATTCAGAAATTCATACTATTGATTAAAATAAGTAAATGTTGGGATGCCTGGGTGGCTCAGTGGGTTCAGCCTCTGCCTTTAGCTCAGGTCATGATCCCAGGTTCCTGGGATCAAGCCCCGCATCGGGCTCTCTGCTCAGCAGGGATCCTGCTCCCCACCCCAGCCTGCCTCTCTGCCTACTTGTGATCTCTCCCTCTCTCTGTCAAATAAATAAAATCTTTTAATAAAAAATTAAAATAAAATAAGTAAATGTTGCTTCTGCTTAATAGATTAACATTTCTAACTAAAGTCTTCTACCTGTCACCACATATAGCTAAATCATTTTATTTTTCATCAGAAAAAATAATTGTGCTAAAAAGTAGTTAAACTTATCTGATACTAAGAATTAATGGGATAGGGGCTTCTGAGTAGCTCAGTCTGTTGGGTATCTGCCTTCAGCTAAGGTCATGATCCCAAGGTCCTAGAATTGAGCCCCACCTTGGGCTCCTTGCTCAGTGGGGAGTCGGCTTTTCCCTCTCCCTCTACCCCTCCCCCCATTCATTCTCTCTCTTTCTCTCCCTCTCTCTCTCTCTCAAATATGTAAATCTTTTTTAAAAAGAATTATATGGGATGGATTCCTCTTATAGATGCTGATTTAACAGGTCTCAGCTGTTATATATTAGGTGAGGCTTAAGATCATGCATTTGGAAAATAATTTTGATTATACATAGACACAATGGCAAAGAACTGTGCATCCAAGTTGGAAAGTATTTATCAACATAAATAGTTATTCTTCTGTGCTAAATGAAAGGTTTTTAGAGAGTCTGGCTTTTTATTCTTTCTTTCATTCTCATTCATTTTAAGGTAAAATTCGCATTAAATTACCTATTTTAAAGTGTATTTATAGTTCAGTGGCAACAGTGTTGTGCAACCTCTGTCTCTGTGTAATTCCAAAATAATTTCATCACCCCCAAAAGAAATCCTGTAGCCATGAAGCAATCACTCCTAATCTTCCATCCCCTGAGTCCCTGGCAACTACTATTCTACTTTCTGTCTCAATGGCTCTACCTATTCTGGATATTTTATATAAATGGAATCATATAGTATGTAACCTTTTGTGTCTGGCTTCTTTCATTTAGTACGTTTTCTAGGTTCATCCATATTGTAGCATGTAGGAGTACTGTTCTTATAGTGGAATAACATTCTATTATGTGCAGATACCATATCTGTTTATCCATTCATCACATGATGAATATTTGGGTTCTTTCCACCTTTTCACAATTGTGAATAGTGCTGCTGTGAACAATCATGTATGTGTTTTTGTTTGAATACTTGTTTTCAGTTATTTGGGGTAGATAACCTAAGAGTGGAATGATTCGATCATGTAACAATTTTAAGTTTAACTTATTGTGGAACCAACAAACTGCTTTCCACACCACTTGCACCATTTTATGTTCCCACCTGCAGTGTATGAGTTTCAGTTTCTCCGTATTCTTGCCAACAGTTGTTATTGTCCATTTTTGTTTTTAATTGTACCTACTGTAGTGAGTATGAGGTGAAATCTCATTGTGGTTTTGATTTGCATTTCCTTAATGACTAATGATGTTATA